TCCTGTTCTCGTTAGCTCAAAGTTACATTTGTAAATGTCCCAGACAGGCAGACAGCATTGGGTTTGGGCTACGAGTAAAATGTAGTGTGTTTAGATAATAGAACCAACAAAGAAAATTCAAGGCAAAACAGTAAAGAGAATCGTGCAACAGAGAATGAAAGGAACCTGTTAACATTTCAGAATTCTAAAGAGGCAAACTTTACACTGATTTCCAAGAGTAGAGACCCACCCAAGCCTTGTTTAAATTATTCAAACAGCATATATCAGAGTTGACAATATACCTATTAACCGAGATCATTTTTTGTACGACGGTAGTAGGTGCATCTACCATTCAACAAGTGACACTTGAATAAAAAAAATACTTTTCTCTCCTCTGATTACAAGCATCACATTATTCCTCAATTTTTATTGACTAGTCGTACGACTGAATGGTGCGAAAGTAGTACCATAAACATTTTCCAATTAAATCTATTAAATTCACGAGATTCCCTCCTTGACATATTATCAAACAGAGAAAATGCATTAATAACTCCAAAATAATGCCACAATACCCCCCATTGCATTCAATAACCAACGTCCACAGAAGCAAAAGGCCCTTCTGGGCTCTCACAAAATCCACTTTCAAGCATATCACATGTCCAAAAATATTCGTAAGTCATAACAAGCAAACAGTAACAGACAACATAAAACACACAAAGTCAAAAAATGATGTCATGGATAAATGAAATATAGGTCAGCATAACCAACTTATGGACAAAACCAATAGAGCAATACATAAAAAGAAGGAAATCCAAGACACTACATTCATTACACAGAACAAAGCACCATTTTTCTTTCAACCTATATTCTACATGAACACAAAGAAACCAAATACAAGAAAGAAAAATTGGTACACAAACCAAATACAAGAAAGTGAAAACAAGACCAAATTACCTGGGCCAGTGGGGATAAGTCAAGTGTCAAATGGGCTTTTAATGGACTCCTTCAATGAAAGCTTGGACCCAATAAAAATCAGTTATCCGTTATTATCTAATTCATATATTATTAAATTAGGGCATCTAAAAAGACTTTGGATCAACCCTCCTTCTTCATGAAACCCAAATCCAATAGACGAATACCTTCACCCCAAGTCAAACACTCAGATAATCTTTACACGGAGAAAGATATTATTACTACAAAAAAAGCTTACAATCTTTACAACTAATCTAATTATCAATGTTTTTCGTTAATCTAACGGTTATAATTTATTGAAAATTATTAGGTTGCATTTATTAATTCATTATTATTCCCAATAAATTATAAGCGTTAGATTGACGGAAATCAATGATTATTAGGTTGGTTGTAAAGATTATAAATTTTTTTGGTGATAAATATATCATGCCCCTACATACATATGTGCATCCCCAAGTATACACTTCTGAAACCTTAATCATCCCTTCTTACTCCAGTCCATCGCACCCTTGCATCAGAGAAGATTTATGATATGTGATCATTTAATCCATAGTTGATCACTCACTTGTGGATCCAACATCAATCACAATCCCTTTGGATCGAACACCCATATCATTTTCTCCATTCCCATAAATTAAACTTGATTAAGGACTAGAAACACCTTATCACCAATATAATAAGGGAAATGTATTTCTTATATTGATGGAAGAAAAAATTTGCAGTAATTGATTATAACTATTTATTTCTAGAAATACATAGTTATGATCGGGAAAAAAAAAATTCTCTACTAGACAACTTTTGAATAGAGAAAAAAATAGGGACATAAATATTATTCTTTTCTTTGTTTTATGAAAAAAATGGTCTTTCAAAATAAGATTTTAACTTTATATGGATAATATAATATTATGTTTCAACAATTGTTAGAAGTTGAAAGTTACAGCTTTTCCATTAAACAAAAATGATGAAACATTGTCATCACACGATTGCTTAGTTGGATTTCCTTAATAAAAAAAAAACACATACAAGTACGTACTAATTAATTATTATAATCAATGTTGGTTTTTTTTTTTTTTATAACAATCAATGTTGTTTTATATGGAACTCTTCTGTTGTCCTCTGTTTAGTGTTACATCTTGTGAAGGCTAAGCTGTTGTAAAATTACATGTCAATGAAGTTAGCCTAATTCAAAGAGAACTAATTGATGCTGCATGTCATCACTCGTCAGTAGCGAACAGGGGTGAAAGTGGGTTGGGTTCGGCCAAGTTTTGTCTCGAAAAGTCTAAGCCTACGTCAAAAAATTTCAATTTGGCCTGGCTCAAGCCTAGTATAAGTCTAATTGTTAGCTTCTTTTGACCCATTTATAAAAAAACAAATGATCTGGCTTAACCCGTTACCCTGTTAATTTTTAACTTCCCAAAACTATGAATCAACTTTACAAAGTACTCAAATTCTGTTGCTACACCAAAAATCATAATTCAACGTCCAAACAGAATCATGAATCATAACAAAACTAATACAATATGGATTTAAGTCATTTTCAAAAGCAAAATGCTTAAACTAAATAACATATATTTCATCAGATCCAACAAACAAATTCATATTATGTAAATTAAAATAACTACCTGAATCCAACAAACACATCATGATGCTTGTAGTAAGTATAACCTCTCCCAAAAATCTTTTAATATATTCACATACACAATCTAACATGTTGAGATGTCAGTTCCTCCTATATAAGAAATAAAGTAAGATTTCTATTAAAATATAATTGAATATAATTAAGTTATAAATAATTGCAATTGATTAAATTTATATCTTTTTTTTTCTTCAAGGCATACTTACTATATTTTATTTTATTTAAAATAAATAGTACAATATAGGCCGGCCTATAAGCTTATAGGTCCGGCCTTTTGAAAAGTGAGTCTACGGTCTTTTTATTAAACAGGCTTTTTTAAGGCTCGAGTCTGGCCTATTATACAAAATATACTGGATCAGATCTAGCCTGATGTAGGTCGAGCCGTAGGCCCCTGTAGGCCGACCCGGCCCAGTTTCACCCCTAGCAGCAACTAACGAACAACACTTCACCACCTATAAGAGAATTCTACATTTTCATACAACTTATACTTGGTCATCTTATAATTAGGCACACCCTCACTAATTTCATATTTTGGTCAAATTTTGCAGAGAAAAAAAAAGACTCGATTTCTCCTCCTTCTTGGAGAGGGAGAGAGAGACTCATTTTCTTTTAACATAAACATTATATAATATAAAGATTTCAAATTTTAATATATAGAGAAAAGGAAGATAGTTTTCCATTATGCGTCGTTTCAAATGTTCAAAGAAAATGACAAGATTATAAATTTTTTAAAACAAATGGTATTTGACCCCACATATTTTATTTCTTGTCCCATCATTTGTATTGATGTGTCTAGAATCAATGTTGAATAGTGTTTCCATTACACCAAGAAAAAATTAACTAAACTATAAATTATTTGTTATTACCCATCATCCTTAATTTTATATATACCCACTTTGAACTGAAATGTATAAAATAATCAAAAAAAATATTAATAAACATTGTAAAATGCACCTAATAAGGCATTACTAAATTCTAATAGGATGTGACTCCTTTGTTCTGCTATGAATTGTATTAATCACAAACAAACAAGTTTAATTTTCACGTCCGAGAAGAATAAATCTTTAATGCATTTACTCATTCATTTTGTGACACATCGACAATAAAACATCACTTCATCTCAAAATGCAGATGATGGGATATTTTTTGTTCACGTATCACAAAATAATTAGGCAGATACATTTAAGCTTCGATGCATTTGATGTATTAAAGATTTATTTTAATAATTCCAATATAATCCCCAGGCCCTTTGAGAAGCTGGTTGAATGTTATATTACGAAAAATATTTTTCATATTATAAGATAAAATTATTTCTTACATACACAAAAAAATAAATGAAACCAATTAAAAAGAAAAGAGAGAAACAGAAAAAAAAAATCTCACTTATTTTTTATATATATATATAAAGGGAAATACTAGTCTTACGTTGTAAGAAACTAGTATCTCATGTCATAACTATAAAGCATGTGGAACCTACTCATTTATTTATTTTTTTATCTCAAATGCTTTGTCTATAAGATAAGATATTTCTCATACATAAAATAATATTTTCTCATACAATATAAAAAATGTATTTGACTTATAATATTGTAGAGAAGCGATAGCCATTTAGAAAGGAAGTTTGTTTAGGACCTTTATTTGTCACATCTCCACCAAGGAAACCCCACCTTTGCTAGCCAGACCAAGCGTGAACCTCACTTCTTCACCAACCATACCATAGAGCAGGTTCCACCTTTCAAGTTGGCAAATATAAAATAACATGATGTACGACCCACCACAATCACACAACACACATGCACAACCAAATTGTGATTTGAGCATAACATGCTCATTGGCTCAACAGTAAATCAAAGAGATAACATGTCTTAGGGAACTATAAAAAGGTTCCATAAAGTCCATTATACATCATTAAGGAGCCGTACAGATAACAAAGATATATATCCATATAAGATTTTTATTTTTATTTTCCCTTTTCCTTAAAGTCTCCACAAGAAAAGACTAAAACCAACTTTTGTACACTGAACAACCTTCGTTAACTATGCAACAACAGTTTCCCTTAGCACATGCCTTAATTGTTCTGAAACTAATACAAGTTCTTAAAGCAGTGGAGGACAGCCTGAATGTTACACAGTTCCAAAGGACACTGCTACTGATAAGCAGAAAGAAAATGGTCCACTCAACCTTGAAATAGATGCTTTCCAAACTTTGACACCAAATTTTAGAAAGGATATTTTTTATTTTTTTTGGTCAAATCAATCATATAAATTTGAGTACTACCGTAGTACTAGCACGTTAATTATATAAGTTTTTAAGTTTTAATATGAAACTGTGAGTTTATATAAAAATGACAAACTCGATGGAAGGTATGGTACTTCAATACTACCGAAGCAGACCCCTAAATTTTAATGCACCATAACCTTTGATTTTTCACGGAAAACAAAGAGAAATACATAGTTCTGTGACTGAAATTTTCTGCTATAATATCAGCAAGTACACTTCGTATGAAAAGTTAAAACACAGAAATCATTAAATTTTGGCAGAAAACACAAGTTTCAATGGCAGCTGTTGATTGTATGGAGAACAAACTATGGAGCAATTTCAAGCCTGGGCTCAAAGCAAAAACCAGTGAAAAGCTGTAGAGGGAACCTCTTTGTTACTGGGCATTTCTGTGACCATTTCCATTGTTTAAGGCTCGTGTCAAATGTGAGAAGTGCTGGAGATCCATAACTTTGAATATATATTATATCGTCTATACCACTGCTAGCAAAAACATCATCAAATTCTCCAAAGCCTTGGAAGTATTTGTGGGGCATTCTTACAATCTCTTCCCACTTCCTATCATGAAGAACCCAGATACCAATTCCTTTTATTATGTCAGGTCGATCATGTTTGCCAATTCCTCCCACCATTACAAGCTTCTCCTTCAGATTCATCAAACGGCCACAAGTTAGAGAACAAGGTACTTGAATAAAACTCCTTCTCAAGCTAGCTTGGGAAGAACGGTTGGAGATGTTATATGCAATTAGTGCATGGCGACTTTCTGGTGGACCACCCCCAGTTGAGTAAACTAAAAAGTATAGCACACCATTGCATATCACACTCTCATCACCACCTCTCCACCCCATCAAAACCTCTGATAAAGTAGTCACCCAGGTCACTTTCTCTGAATTGTATATGTGAATTGAGATATCCCACTGGAAAAAGTTATCAGGGACTTGCTTCGATTTTACAATTGCTACAGTATAAATATGGGATTCCCTGTTCGCTGAGATTGCTAATGCACTATAATCAGAAAACTTCAAACCTGGAGGCTCCTCAAGCTTCCTACAGATTTTGGTAATAGGGTTGCACATGCATAATTCACTTCTGCTGTCATTATCCATGAAGCAAACTAAGCCATATGATGAAGCAATGAACCAATTAGAAGTTTCGATGCAGGGAAGTTCAATGCCATACCATTTCCGAAGGATGGGATCATAAGCATAACCGGTTGGTTCATCAGAGTTAGTAAACATAAAGTACCAAGGTTTCTGGGGTAGCAAATGGGAAGGGTTCCATAGAAACCTCCCTGAAGTAACAATCTCATACCATCTTTTACACACACAACCTGCTCTGAAAATGCTTGGGATGGGGAGATAGGCTAGGATACGCTCCAACAATTCATCAGGTAAAATTATGTCCACAGAAACAGCAGTTCCTTCTTTATCAACTTCCTCACCAAGTTCCAAAAATGAATCAAACTCCCTAATCTCCCTTCGTGTGTCATCATCACAGTGGCTAATCCATGATGTTTCTCCCGCCATAAGAGTTGAAAGTAAAGGCCTAATAAGTATATTTAAAAGTATTCAGCTAATTATTAAAGAATCCCAACGACAAATAAGAAAGAACCCGGGATTTTATGACCTGAGAATATACTAGATCATGGAGACTCACAGTAACACAAGGTGAAACACCTCAAGACAAAATGAAAAGGACATTTTAAATCACACAACTAATAATACCATAGGTAGAACATAAACAAGATCAACTGCGCACACACACAACAGAAAACTTTCCTGCAAATGATAAACAATCAAAGTATGAATAGGATATAATACAGCAAGGGCACAACCATCAGAACTTACCAAGAAAAGAAAACTAATACAGAAGTATATATCTCCTTTCAAGAAGAAAGTATAATACAAAATGTGAACCTGACAAGAGGACCAATATAAGGGAACTAATATCCACCAACTATCCCCTTTTTCGTATTTAGAAGTCCAAACGGTAAGGGAAAGATGCATAGCACTTACTAAAGTAGAAAATCTGGTCTAGTCGCAATGCTAGTGGGGAAGCTCATGAAATGAGTTGGTATTAGCAATCAAAGCCAAACCCCACAGAAGGAAAGATCCTTAAAAGGGTTTGGTATTTTGAAACAAACATGACTAATAGATTGAATAGCACTGGTATCAAACAACGGATGCTTGTAGCACATAGCCAGGAAAAGCAATATACAATATTAAATGTAAAAACAAAAAACACAAATACTCATAACATGGAAGAATTTAGTAAACAGAAGATATTTCTCATAAATCCAGATATATACAATATAATATTATGTTAAGCTCACCAAACTAATAAATAACACCGCAAGCACGCTTAAAATCTACATGCTTCGAGGTTAGCTCAGAAATTTGATGTCAAAGTAAAACAACTAAGAAGGCATAAATGAAAAACACGCATAACCCAAAGAGGAAATTTTTATCAAACAGAATAAAGTCACAAAATTTATATGTAACAAGAAACAACAAATGGCTCAGAAAGAGAACAAACACTGCAACTTGCTGATTCCTTACAAGCATTTAAAATGGTGCTAAAACCAACATTAAAAAATAAAAAAATAAAAACTTTTCCCTGGAAGGCTGTTCATCATAAAAACAAGTTGTCTTTGCTGCACGAAGAAGCAACATTTAAAAGCAGAACAACTCTTCAAAAGAGGGTTGGTGTGATTCAAACTATAAAAGAACAAAATAAGAGGGTGAAGGAAGAGAAACCAAATGGTTAAAAAACCCATCAAGCAAACACCAAACCTCTTCGATCCTGAGATGACTAATCAGTAGAAGAAACAATCCACAGCAGATACCAAATTCCAAAAACAAATACAGATCAATGAACACAGAAAAGCACCCACAAAAATTAAAAACAACCACCCTACAAAAAAAAAAAAACATTTTGAGGATTGAAAGATGAAACCCATTACGTAGAGATAGATTCTACCTTGTTTGAAAGGTTCCACTAGTGTCACTGTGGAAAAGGGTGTGAGCTGATTCAGCGAGTTTCCGTGTTTATAGTCAAAAAGAAGAAGAAGAAGAAGAACCTGGGGGGAATGAAATTATTGCTGAATGGGAATTGAGAATAGCCACAAAAGCATTGAACTTTATGGTGAAAACAGAATGAACGACGTAAAAAATTTTCCTTCAAATGGAAGAACAACGAAATGGGTTGCTCTAGATTTGGTTGATAAACAAGGCCAAACAACGCACTAAATAGAAATAGAGAGAGAGAGAGAGAGAAAAAAGCGTTTTTTTTTTTTGGGTTTGTTTTGTTGATACGACAAAAACGACAGGAATTGAAGTGCGGTTCTAGCGCATGGAAGATGGTGCTTTCTGTAAGGGAAGAGTGAAGTGCGTGTAGGCGCGTGAGTTTAGTTTTTTTCTTTTGTTTTGCCTTTTTCATTTCATTAGCGTTTCGTGTGAAGATAAATAAATTAATGAAAAAATATTTTTCTTTTTATTTTTTTATGGATTTTATTGATCTTTTGTTACATAAAAATAAATCTATTTCCTACACACAAATTCAAGATGGTCTCACTTTACTTTTTCTCTCTCTTCCCTTGAAAGTGGACCCCACTTATATAAATGAGTCAGTAGGAGATAATTATTATCTTCTACTACGTGAGAAAACTATTACCTTTTTTTATAAACAAATATTTGTCATTCTAAAATATAATTGTGTTATTTTAAGTGAAAAAAAGATATAACTTAGTATTTTTTATTGGGGACAATTATATTTATCATCAGGTAAGTTTATCACCCTTACGACCAATCTCATAACCGTTAGATTAAAATTAAATCTAACGGTCCATAATTATCCCTTATAATCCTAATTTTTTCTCTCTCATCCCTCTCTCAAAGTTTGGAATGTGCACACCTATCGGATCAACTTTCTCAATCCTCTCTTTATCTTTCTTTTTTTTTTTTTTCATGTTTTTCCTCCGATTGATTTCAAAATTATATAACTTTTTAATAATATATGGGATTTTATTTTTATTTTTATAACAATATATGGGATATTTAACTTATGCAATACTTATACCTCTTTGATATCTTCCGTTCCTAATTTATTGCTTTTCCGTTTTATTTGACATGGTTGGTGCCTGCAGCGATTAGGAGAAATTTGGTTTTTATTTGTGTTTTCGGTTACAGGAGTATGAAAAAGAACCGATTCAAAGATCAATGATCGATTTTCAGTTTTATCATTAAGTGTTATTATTAATTGTTTGCACCTGTTAATGGTTTGCACCTGTTGAAAAAAAAAATGGAAAGAATGAATTCACATGTCTGAGTATTTGCTTTTGTGATATATTTTTGTTGGAACTGAAGATCAAAGTGCTACATCGATGAAGAGAGGTGATTCTCAAACCGAGAGAGGTTTGTACGGTGGCGGACCCAGGAAATTTTTCTGTGGGGGGCTAAAAATTAAACATTTGTTTATCTAATATATGAGAGGTCAAAATACGAAAAATTAAATATTTGTTCCTCTCTTCAACCACAATATGTGTGAGGCCGAAACACCAATCCAGAGAACATAACTCATAAATACTCTTTTAACTTGTTATAGAGAGAAAGAAGGAGACAGAGAGAGAGGTAGAAGATGTCACAGTAAAATCTACTATCAATTTGAAAAAAGCTACCACTTTTCAAACCCTAAAATGAACATTTTTTTATGCAAAGAAACCAAAAAAAAAAAAGAGAAGAGAGCAAAGATTTAGATTTCACAAAAAATATTAACTAATTACTATATCTAAATAGATAATTCAAAGGAGACTCCTCTCATTTCTTAACCTCTTTTTCTATTTACTCACTGTTAACCCAACAAGAAAAAAAAAAGTCAAAGATAAATAAGAAGAGACAGATTGACAGATTGAGGTTTAAACTATAATTTAACGGGAAGGTTATATTTACAAACTTTTCGTTTATAAACTCTTACAAACTATACTGTGTCTGACCGTCATACTTTGATCAAAAGTGTATGACTGGTTATACTTAATGTAATTTGTAAACAGATCTTATAAACTCTATAAACTCTCTGCGGTGGGAGAAAACTACTTCACATTAATAGAGAGAAAAAATAAAAATTTCTTGCATTATACTTATATTAAAAAAAAATTTCAAATTTTGAGGGGGGCGGCCGCCTACCCTAGCACCCCCCTCGGTCCGCCCCTGGGTTTGTAGATCCCAAACCTAAAGAAAGAGGGGATGCGAGAGTAAAAGTTAAGATTATAAGGAATAATTATAAACCGTTAGATTTAGTTCAAATCTAACGGTGATGAGATTGGTTGTAAGGGTGCTAAACTTACCTAGTGGTAAGTATTACCGTCTCCTTTTTATTTAAATTTTAAATTGAATAAAATATTTATGCAGTTAATGCAGATAAGTTATCTGCATTTATTCTCAAAACGACGTCGTTTTGGTATTGAAATCTTAAAAAATTATAAATATAAATACTATTATAACCCTGAATAAATTAAAATTACAAAAATACCATAGTTTTTGCCCCAAAACGACAACGTATTGGGCTTACTGCAGAAAAAGTGAACCCTTTTAAATTTTATAAAAAAATCTATTTTCTTTCCTATAATTATTTGTTTATATATTTTTTTACTTAAAATGATATAATGACAAATAGTAAATTCATTAATTAAAAAGGAAGTTTTTTATTCCTTTTTGTTTTCTAATTCTCTCCTTTTCTGGTAAAACTAAAATGTAATATTAATGATAAAATTATTTTTTATACGTATAAATATATGTGAGAACTATATTTTCTCTCTTTTTCTTTTATTTAATGAGTCCTACCTATTTTTTGTGTTTTGCATAATAAATTACTTTATGCAATGCGATAAATATATTCTCCTTTTTAATTTCATGTACTATATTATTTTATTTTTGAAATGTATCAAATATAGCATACAATGGTTAATACGGCTATCAAAATAGGGTTTTATTGCTCTCCTTTCATATAAGATAGTTATTTTATGTTGTAGAGAGAAAATAGGTGGGTCCCACCATTACATAAAAAAAGAAAAATATGAGATGCCAAAATTGAAGTGCGATAACATGAGACGGTTATCTTAAGTGAAAGGAGAGTAATATTTCACTTCAAAAGATTGTCTTATATTGAAATTTTTACATGTTCACTTTGTGAAGGTTTTATTCAACAACTGTATAGAACTTAAAATCAGGTGAATAGGTTATAGGTATTATTAGACAGAAAAAAAAAAATCGTGTTCTTCTCACTTTTTCTTCGACTCTTTCATTTGCCCTGCACTAAGAGTACTATTTTGGTTTTTTATTTTTATTTTTGGTAGGCACTATTTTGGTTTTTATTTTGGCTATCAATTTTTCCTATCTGTTATTTCTTCTAACATTTTAATCATTTATAGATCCCAGGTTTAATATTTTTCTTCATCTCTGCAACAAAAGTATTATACTTATTTTATTAAAATATAACATTTGATAATATAATTATGAGTTTAAAGTTTCTAAAATTATTGAAAATAATTTTATTTAATATTCACAAAAAATACACATAAAAAATATGTAAGATTCATATTTTCTTTTTCTCTCTCTTCTCTTCACATATGTCTACATGAACCCTATACACTTTTTTATTGTATTTTGATAAACATTAGATAAAGTTATCTAAAGTAACTTTAGAAATTTTAAACCCTGTAATTATATATGTGATTAAATAGTTTAAAACATTATATTATGTAAAAAATTAAATAAAATCCTAATATTGGATAATATTATTCTCATAATGTTCACATAATTTTTCAATCCAACTACCTCTTATTAGAAGTTTTTAAGTACGAGTACAAACACCGAAACTCAAATTAAGGATAGAACAAGGTGAATAGAATCTTGCCATATATAGTCGTTGGGTAATATTTTTCTTATGTTGCATAAGAGAAATATTATTTTCTACACTCACATTTTTCAAATGGGTCTCACAAGAATTTTTTTTCTCACCTCCAACTTTTTTCTCTCTCTTAATTATTGTTTGAGTAGAAAATAATATTTTTTTTATGCAACATAAGAAAAGTATTAGCTACAGTGGTTATATATAAATATATTTTAAGTATGTCTTCATCCCCATCCCTATTTCCCGATGGCTAATTATTCATTTTTCTTCTATTCCGTTAATAATTTATCAAAGTTTATATAATTTTAGTGGTTTTCAGCTCCAGATATTTGAAACATTTTTTTTGGCGTTGACGGCTCAAGTGATTTACGCACATGTAACAAGAACTGCGTTTATATATATATATATATATATATATATATATGAGAGGGATCCGTTTACAAATTTTTTTTTTTGAAAATTTTTACAAATTACACTATACTCTCCCGGGATAACATAGTGTAACTAGTGTTTTCCCGGGAGAACTTAGTGTAGTTTGTAAGAGTTTGTAAACCAAAAAGTTTGTAAATATAACATGTCCTATATATATTGCAATTATATAAATAATTTATGGGTTTAGTGTGTGTCATTTAAAAGTTGTGTACTTTTAGTGACTTACACAGAGTATGACCGGTCATACTCTGTGTAATTCTGAAAAATTACGTTTTTTTCATTTTACACATCAGCGATGTGACTTAGAAGAGAAAAAAATAACTTTTTAAATTTACACAAAGTATAACTGATTATACTTTGTGTAAATCATCTAAAAGGACACAAGTTGTATCCTTTTACATCATAGTTTTTTTTCCCATAATTTAAAGGGTTCAAATTCTACTTTTGTGGAGTTCGTTTATCTAAGCGCGTTGTTTTTATTTTCAATTTAAGTGATTTATAACTTTTATTTTATTTTTTTCAGCGGATTAATTGATTTCGAGTTCCGTAAAAGTTAAAATCAATATAAGGGGCCATTTTTTTCAAATTAATTTTTTTTTTTTATTTCAAGCATTCGAACTCAACAATTTATAATTCTAAATAGGTGGACATGCACATCTTCAGTGAAATTTAAATTTAAATTTTTTAAGTGAATTGAATCATTCTCTATTAATTCTGTCTTAATTTATCATACTTAAATTATAAATTTGAAGAATACTTCATTCTCTCTTTCACGTATTAAATTTTTTTACATATGCCTCTCTATTTTAAAAGTTATACAGAATGTACCAAAAAAAAAAAAAAGTTATACAGAATTCGTTTATATAAAAACTCTTTATATATTGGAAAAACATAAATAGTCTAAGATTGAAAAATAGAGTCGTTAGTCAATTATTAGTGATCTCGAAATGACATTTTTATTCTTAATTTCATTAATG